ACATAGCTGTTTTATAAAATGGTCTTGCAGTTTCTCAACATGTTAAACAGTGTTGCTATATGACCTGGCCATTCCAATTCTACATATATACTCAGGAGAAATGAAAATAACATTGACACAAAACTTGTACTATAATTATTCATAATAACCCAATGTAGAAACAACTGATATATATCAAGTGATAAATAAATGTAATCTATCCATACAGTGGGATTTTATTCAGCAATAAGAAGGAATGAAGTATTGAAATATGTTAGAACTTAGATGAACTCTAAAAACTTGCCAGTCACAAAGGACCAATGTATGCTTTCATTTATATGAAATGTCTAGGTAAATTTGTAGAGATAGAAATTAGATTGGTGATTGCTTAGGGCTAAGCGAAAGAGAGTAGGGAATGTAGAATCTAATAGGTACAGAATTTCTTTTAAGGGGAATAAAAATGTTATAGAATTGGATTATAGTGATGCTTCCACAGCCCAGTGAATATACTGAGAGTCACTGAATTGTCTACCTTAAGTGAGTGAATTATATGTCATATTATTTGTATCTCAATAAAAGTATTTTTTAAAGTGGCATAGCTATACCAACTCAAATTTTCAGGATATACTTGTGTCTACTCCATCCTACCTACTGTCTTCTCATTACCAAACCGCTTTTGATGCTGATATATTTACTCATGGACTAGTATATTTTTACCTTCATACTCATCATGTAACTAGAATCTGTAGAGTAACACCATGAGCAATTCAAACATGATTAAGATAATACGTGCACTCAAATCTATAATATAAAAGATAGTATATGCTATATTTATAATTATATGAATGTTCAGAGAAGGGAAGCCTTGTGAACAGACAGGTGATAAGGAAGCCCCCATTGAGGGAGTAAGTGAGATGAGTTTTGAAGTACTGGTACAATTTAGACAGAGAAATACGGGCAAAGGCTGGAAAGGCCAGAAATCAGGAAGCCTAGAAAATGTCTAGTGAATGATTGTGTGTGGCTGGAGAAGAGATAAATCTAAAGAAGTGACATTCAGTTTTAAATGTAAGGCAGAACTAGATTTTAGAAAGATTTTAGATATTACACTATGGAGCCTGAACTTTATTGTATAAAAAATATGGAGTTTTTTTTTATTAGTCCAGTATTACTATAAAAGTTTTATTTCTGACATTTTGGTCAGACTGGAGTGCCTTCATTTGTGGGAGCAGAGAGACTTTGGAGACAGTGAGATCACTGATATGGCTTTTCCTTAGCCTGACTTAGCAGTAAGTAGAATATGGAATTGATTAGTTATGATGAGAATAAAAAGAAAACAAGTACAATAAAAATTAAGAAAACAGAACCCAGTGTGTTGGGGTATGAGAGTAAAAACTTCCAGAGAAAACTCGGGGGTTTCCAGGCTGACTGATCATCTGGTCTGACTGATCAACAAGATTGTTGAGTAGGAATTCAGATGGAGACAGTTGGGAATACAGAAGTAGCACTTATGAAAGAGGCCAGGGCTAAAGCTACACATTTTGGAATACCCATTGAGGCAAGAGAACAAATAAGGTATTGCATAAGATCTGAAAAGAGAAGATGGAAAATATAACATTCTTAGGGAATATCTATATTTAAGAAGAAGTAGAAAAATTAGGCAGCAAAAGGATGATCTAGGAGAGAAATCAGGTGGGGATAGAGCCCTGGAAGACAGAGGAGGAAAGTTTTGAGAATGAGCCAAGAATGATGATGCAGAAAACATGTGCTTTCTGATTTAGAGATGTTGAAGGGATATCCAAGAAAGTAGTTACAAAAATGTGGTCAGGGTTTTAGGTAACACCAAGTTGCCAACCAAATGGATGTTGAAGAAATAAGGTTAATAAAAATGGAATTCTTTTCAAGAGATGTAGTTCAATAGGATGATATGGGAGAGAGGAAGAGGTGGGGGGAGAGAGAAACTGATAGGTTTGTAATTGGGAATTTGCCAATGAATTTGAAGGAATATAAGGGAGGTAACAAGAGTGCATATATGGAGAGGTGAGCCTTTACTCTACTATCAAGAAAGAAGATTTCTTTCTCTGAGGGGGAACATAGCACAAAAGCTGAAGGTGGGTGAGGATGCAGAGAAAGTGTAAGGTGCAGTGGAGGAAAGCTGAAGACACTAATTCCATAGGAGTTCTGTCCTATTCCAACAAAGCTAGATGTAAATGAATATGTTCGTGAGATAGGGAAAGTCGAGGAGGAGGAATACAAGGCTCAAGGGGAATGAACTTGGCACTGTGGAGATGGGCATTGATATTCCTAAAGGGCCTACTCGAAAACAGAGGTCAACAGCCTAGATTCATTAGTAGCAGAATCCCTGTCTAGGCTCAGACTTTGTCTAGCTACCCTGAGAATATTATTTATAAATTTTCTACAGTTCTGTTATTTCCTTTCTATTGTATTTTTTTAAGATTTATTTATTTATTTGAAAGAGAGGCAGAGTCAGAGAAAGAGAGAGGTCTTCCATCCGCTGGTTCATTCCCCAGTGGGTCGCAAAGGCCGGAGCTGCGCCAATCTGAAGCCAGGAGACAGGACCTTCTTCTGGGTCTCCCACAAGGGTGGCCCAGGGACTTGTGCCATCTTCCACTGCTTTCCCAGGCCGTATCAGAGAGCTGGATCAGAAGTAGAAAAGCCAGGACTCAAACTGGCCCCCATATGGGATGCCGGCACTGCAAGCAGTGGCTTTACCTGCTACGCCACAGTGCCAGCCCCTCTAATGTATTTTTACCAAATTTACATTTACTCTAAGAAGTAACCATTGGCATTTTGTCAGCAAAGTTTAACTGAATCGTTTCCAGTCCAGTTTACAACCTTCCCCATCCTTGTGCTTACTCTGACTTCACAGTTGCTTGGCTATACCTCACAATTTCCTTCCTGCCAAGAATTTTGATGTACTGTTTCAAGCTTTCTCTATCCCTTCATTCAAACAACCATTCACAGAAAGGGATGTTTTCTTCTTTTCTTTCCTCTAAACAGCGAGCAGGATTTCCTGTGACTTTAAAGATTGTGTCAAAGAGCCAGTTATTATTGATGGAGGGTCTGTAATTTGGCAATGAAAGGGGAGACTGGAGTGGGGTAGAGCAGGGAGATTAATGAATAGCCAAATGTGAAATTCGGTTTTATTTTGGCCTTTGTCTAAGTAAAGGTTTTCTATATAAATTAAACTTCACTGTATTTTTTTTTCTCTGGCCCTTTATTTTACACTTTCTCCAATGAGGTCACAATCCTTATTGATGAATTTTCTTTTACCCTGATCTCTGCTATACTAGTTCCATCTCCAGTGCATTTTAGTCACTCACAATACTTCTGAGATTGTTATTTCTTGAAGTCTCTGAGAACCTGAACTCTTAAACCCCTTCCTCTGGCTTTACTGCATCTTCACACAGAACAATCCTGAGCTTTCTTCTCTTTATGACCACTTCCAGACCTTCCATTCTTTCTAATTCTTCTACCTTATCACCCTGCTTTTACTTAATAGTTTTTATTAAGCATGTCCTACGTGCAAAACTATGTTTTCTGGTCTTCTTTCTCTACTAACTGTTTTCTCCAAAGACAAAACACTGTCCTTTGTGTCCACCACAGTTCATGCTATCTACTTTTAGGTGAGGCTTAACTGTTGTAGAGAACCCTTTTATTTTCTACTCAAATGAGAGGTTCTAAAGTGCCTTCATAAAGCTTCAATCTTATTCCATTTCCACCCCATTCCTACCCCTGGGAATCATGCTTTGACAGTACAAAGGTCAGTTCCTTTGAGTCCAGCATTCTAGCTTATTTTCTTTCTACTTCAAACACTCTCCATATCTCAACTTCTCTTTTTTCCTTTTTATGAGTAAGAAACAGCTCAGCTTCCTGCCATTCTCACCCCCCTCCAATCAATCATGGGGAAAAAAAGAATCTATCTAAAGGATAATACTAACTTCTCACCCAGAAAACCTCAGTGGTTTCCCAATGACTTTGGAGTAGAGTCCCAACATATTAACTTTCCATTTAAGGCCCTCTTCAAGGTGGGCAAAATTTTCCATTCCAGAATAGTCTCCTGTTATCACTTTACATCTTATGCCCTAAATTGCCATCCAATTGAACTAGCTATTCTTCCCCAAAGATGCCATGCATTCCATGCCTCCATGCCTGGTAGGGTCAATGTACAATCTTCCATTTATAAAGTATGAGTTTTAATTCAAACTCTTCCATGTGCCAGTTGGATGACTTTAGTCAGGGATATAGAATTCATGCTCCTCAATTTTCCCTCAGCTATCTTTTGGAATCAAACAAAATGAATGTTGAAGTCCTGGGAAAACTGAATAATGCTACTAAAATGTGAAGTGTTCTTTCATTTAACAAATACTCATTTAGCACCCACTGCCTGCCAAGCATTAGTACTGCTGCTATTCATTTTCCAGATGAACATAATAGATATACTTAAGGAGGCAGAACCAATCTGCATCCATTGATCAACATGAACAAAAACAAGGAGAGTCAAGACATAAAGAAAACCTACGTAAGTTTCAGGTTTGGCACTGTATTTGGAAAGCACCATGTGTAGATGGAATGATAGCTATTTCAGTTCAGAGCCATCCTCCTCTAGTTTATATGTCTTTGTTGCTGCTTTTCTGGACATTAAAATCAATTGAGATCAAACATAAATCAAGGAATTCTTAAAGCCTATTAGCAATAGGAGTAGAATCTTTCACTTCTTTCATTCCTCAGGATGTGAATGTCTCTGATTGAAGAAAAGAATTCACTGCTTTAAGTAAGCCCATGTCTTGAATCTCTTCAATACATGCCAGATGGGATTTTCAGGAGCAGATTGTACAAGCAAGCTTGCAAGGGAACATGGCCTTGTAAATATAGCTTCTCTTGATGATGGCTGTAACTCTACTTGGTATAAGAGAAGACCTTTTTAAAAGGGTTTCCTCACTATAGTCACCAATATAAAAAACACACACCATAAAGTACATTTTCTCCACTACTGATAGACTTGTTGTGCTACTGCCAATAAAATGATTGTTGGTTCCCAGTGAGTTGGGGGGAGGGAGTATGGGAAGCAGGTGGACAAAAACCTACCCAGTGAACAAACTGCTTCTCTTTTTCTTTTCCCATTCCTTTTTTTAAATTCCAAAATAGAAATTTCAAAGCTTAAAAAACTTCAAGGCAATTTAATTTAAGTTGCTTCTCATGACTTTAAACACCGAATGTTCACACCCACGTCAGTACTACATTGAGATCCTCCCACTCAGAGACTATTTAGGAAAGAAAGTATGCTGTGGTCTGAGATGAGGCCTAGATTTGAGAGATCTCAAGTTCTTAGATGAGTTCTTCAGCAGGACTCCCAAGTTCAGCAAAATTAATCCTCCTTTTCAGAGAGTCAGGTCAATGTTTATAGGAGGCTTCCCTTTAGGGATAATTATAGAAGATAAAAATATTTATTATAGACACAGTAAAAATCTCTTTATAATCTACTTCATTCACATATATCCTACTTCATGCAATACATTTGTCTTGCCCCTAAGAATCTGGATTATACTGAGTTTTAGCCTTCAGGACTCCTGTGACATAATCTTGAAGAACAGACGTTACTAGTTTCCCCCCACACTTGGATACTGACAATAATCCAAGCCCCATTTTCTTTAACAATGTTTGTACCACTGTTAGTTTTCAATATGTAGTGCAGATTTACTGATCATGGCTTTTCTGGGAAAGTAAATTTTGGTTTTAGTGTTTAAGCCATAACACAGCCAAATTGCATATCTGGCATGTTATTTCACACCCCACTATTTTCATGTTTTTTTAGCTTAAGCCAAGCCAGGTGAGTAGGCGTCATCCAAGATAAAATCTTGCTGACTTTTTTTCCCCCAAAGAAAAGCTCGCGAACAGGAGGTGATAAATGCTATGCTTCCTACTCAGACTCTGTCACATAAGATGTCAGTTCTTTATTTTAATTATATTCTTTGCCAGCTCAAAGAGGCAAGTAATTTTGCTTCATATTATCCTACCTTTGTTAGAGTTCCTCTAAAATGGCAGTGGAAGGCCTTTCATTTGTTGTGCCAAAGCTGGTCTTAATATCCAATTCCTAGCCAATCTCTTGGCATCCCAGAGAAAGCAGCATATTATTCACTGTCAAAAAAAAAAATCAGATGATTACTGAAATGTGATCCAAGTATCAAAAATGAAACACCTCTCTGAAACGGTATAGTAATTGAACAGAGTTTTTTACTTTCTTTTTAAGAACACACACAGACACACACACACACACACACACACACACCCCAAGAAGCGGCATTGACTGAAGGGGTTAGCACAAAACAGACATAATCAGGAAGATTCTGCAAACAAAGGAGAAACAAGAGCTCATATATTATTTGGGTTTCTAAGAATCAGACCCTGACATGAGGATTCTGTTGCCAGTCGTACATTTGTGAGGCATAGAGACCACTGACAGTGTAATGAGGAAGGAATACAGGGAAAGGAGGCAACATGTTCAAGAAAAAGATATGTTACAGAGACAACCACGATAGCAGTAACTGCAGCTTCATTCTGAGAGAATACTCTAGAAAATGACATTAAATAAATGCCTTAGAATTATCTCACCCAAGGGTCAACGTGGCTGGGGTATTCATATTCCAACTTCTAGCAGTCATTGGTCAAGGGCTACTGAAGCAGAGGAGTGGGAATTATTTCACCAATATTTCCTACCTGCCACTCCAGTTTAACAAGAAAATCTTCAGGCCCAGACATGCAGACATTGGTAGCTGGGAGTAGGCTCCAGTCAGAGCCAAGGAGAGAGCGGCACATTAACGGCATCTGCAGCAGTGACTCTTTAACTGAGTCATGGTTTCCTCAGACAAAGAATGTTGTACTGATCCATGATCGTGGGGCCTCTGAATAGAGTCACAAGGCTGAGCAAATAAAACTGTATGAAAAAAATCTCAGTATTGTTAGCCATCACAAAATGCAAATCAAAACTACAGTGAAATATCATGTCACTCCAGTTAGAATGACTATTTCCAAAAGACAAAAAATAACAAATCCTGGGAAGGATGTAGGAAAAAGGGAATCCTTAAACACTGTTGGCAGGAATGCAAATTAGTACAGTAATTGTGGAGAAAAGCATGAAAATTCCTCAAAAACTGGAAACATATCTACCAGTTGACTAAGCTATCTGCCTTCTCGGTAAATAACAACATGCAAGAGATACCTGAGCTTCTATGTTCAGTGCAGCAGTATTCACAGTAACCAATATATAGAATCAACCTAGGTGTCAGTTTATGGATAAATGCATAAAGAATATAGATAAATGCAATATAATATCATTCACCCATGAAAAAGATTGATATCCTGTCATTTGCAGCAAAATAGATAGAACTGAAAGTCATTGTGTCTTAAGTGAAATAAGCCAGAGACAGAAAAACAAAAACTGAATGTTATCTCATATGTTGGAATTATTTTTAAAAAGTTAGACTCTCCCTGGAATAGTGATTATTATAAGCTAGAAAAAGTGGGGGGAGGAGGACAGAGGTTGAATAATGGGTAGCAAAATAGTTATATAGAAGTAAAAAGTTCTAGTGTTCCACAGCAGTATGAGACAACTGTAGTTCAGGATAATGTGTCATGTACTGTATGAGAGAATGGAGAGGACGGGCTTGTAGGCTCCAAGTGTGGAGAAGGGATGGGGAGATGGAAGTGCTAATTATGCTAGTTACTTGGGTTTGAACAGTTTATTCTGTGTATATATGTTAAAATGTTGCACTGTGCCCCATGAAGATATGCAAATATTGCATGTTAATCAAAACTTAAGGAAAATAATTATTTTAAGAGATGTAATTACAAATAGTCATTATAGAATGGTAAATAAATACAGATAAAATAAAATACAGAGTTGAAGCAAAAAAAAGAATACAAGATGCCAAGCAAGTTCAAACCAAGTCTCCAGAAAGACATGACAGAGAGAGGCAACAAGTGGGTCTAGTGGTTCACTGCCCTTTCTCTTGTTGTTCCTTATCAGTATCTCCAAAAGGTGCCTTTTTAAAATAAAAGTTTATTTATTTATTTGAAAGGCAGAGTTACAGAGAGGCAGAGGGTCAGAGAGAGGGAAAGGTCTTCCATCCACTGGTTCACTCCCCAAATGGCCGCAATGGCCCAGAGCTGGGCCAATCTGAAGCCAGGAGCTTTTTCCGGGCCTCCCACGTGGGTGCAGGGGCCCAAGAACTTGAGTAGCTTATCCAGCATCAGAGAGCCAGTGTATGGCAAAGCAGGGGTTCCAGTCTAGGCTGGCTGGCTCTACCATCCATGCCCTTGACTTCATTGTGTGCTGTCTCTATTCTTCAGGAATATGCAGGCCCTGAAATACTAGCCATCTTAAGCAGTCTCATGTGCTTCTTTTTGCTTTCCTTAGATACACCAAGTCTGTTCACTTCACATACTCAAATCTAAAGCAACCCATGAGTTTTCCAAGGAGAAACTCACTCCCCCAAAATTGAAGCCAATAATTTCTTATTTTTATTTTGTTAAGATTTATTTACCATTTTGAATGTCAGAGTTATAGTGGGGCAGGGACAGAGAAAGACAGATAGACACAGAGATCGTCCATCCTCTGGTTCACTCTCCATTTGGCCGCAACAGCCAGAGCTGCGCTCATCCGAAGCCAGGATCCAGGAGCTTCTTCCAGGTCTCCCACTCGGGTGCAGGAGCCCAAGGACTTGGGCCATCTTCTACTGCTTTCCCAGGTGCATTAGCAGAGAGCTGGATTGGAAATGGAGCAGCCGGGACTCAAACCAGCACTCACATGGTATGCCGGCACTGCAGGCAGAGGCTTTTACTCTCTATGCCATAGTGCAAGCCCCCAAAAGGTACTTTCTATGAGAAGAGTGGAGGTGGCAGAATGCTGTTGAATTTATTTGTGGAGGGATATCAGCAAAGAGACTGATGTAACGTTTTCTTTTTAAAATGTTTATTAATATAAAGAGAACAGATTTCATGTGTTTCATAGATACAATTCTAAGAGGATAGCTGCACTTCCTTCCCTCCCTCAGTTCCCCTCCTTACTTCCTTTTTTTGTTTAATTTTTATAATAACATAATTTACTTTATAATAACAGGCTCAATGCCCCACTAACCATAACGTTCAGCCAGTAAAAAGTAGAAAGATCACTGTTCCACAGGAATATAGACAAGGCCTGTAAACAATAATCAAACCATGTCAATTTCATTCTTTTACAGTTTTTAAAGATTTATTTATTTATTTGAAAGTCAGAGTTACACAGAGAGAGAAGGAGAGGCGGGGTGGGGTATCTCCCATCCACTGGGTCACTCCCCAATTGGCCGCAACGGCCGGAGCTGTGCCAATCCCAAGCCAGGAGCCAGGAGCTTCCTTCAGTCTTCCCATGCTGGTGCAGGGGCCCAAGCACATGGGCCATCTTGTACTGCTTTCCCAGGACATAGCAGAGAGCTGGATCAAAAGTGGAGCAGCTGGGTCTTGAACCGGCGCCCATATGGGATGACAGCACTACAGGCGGCGGCCTCACCTGCTACACCACAGCGCCGGCCCCATACATTTTTTTGTGTTTGATATTAACTACCACATATCATAGAAAATGTTTGTCTTTTGGGATTGGTTTATTTCACTAAGCAAAATGGTCTCCAGTTGCATACATTTTGTTGCAAAACATGGGATTTCATTCTTTTTTATGGCTCAGTAGTCTTCATGGTGATATATAAGTTGTAAGTGCCAGTAAATAATAATAGATGTTCACTTTTATTGAAGCTTTGTTTATGCAAATCACCATTCTATGATATTCACATATATTACTTTATTAATTCTGAAAGCAGTGTTATGAAGTACATTCTATTATTATTATCCTTTATTTTTAGATAACCAAAGACACAGAAATATTAAATAGCCTACCAAAGACTACAGAGCAAGGAAGTATCTCCAGAAAACAAGCTTTTAACCACTATATTAAAGATAAAAAGAGAGGATAGTTTATGGGAAACAGGATAATAGCTTCACAAAGAAATAAGTGTGAGAAATGTTGTAAAGAAGATAGAAAGTGGTCTCTGAAGAAGGGGTTGGCCCAAGGATTTTTAGATCCTTTGATTAAACTGAAAAAACAACAGCAAAACTCAAGGGTAGGTAAAGAGAGCTCATAATTATCTAACCCCTTTTCCTGATATCACAGGAAAGCCCAAATTAAGAAGAGAAGCCTTTGGACTAATGTGATCTAATTAAGTGAACTAACACAGATCCAAATGCCATTATCACCACTGCAAAAATTATATACCATATTTAAATAAACACAGAATCATAAATATGAAGGACAGATAATTTTTTAAAATTGAACACCTCTTTTTAAAATCAATTTGCAAATGCAAACAAGACATCCATAAAAAACAAAAGTAAGACAAGATGACTCAGGAAGAGATATCGTTTTATAAGAGAAATCTTGAGAATAAAGAAGTGTGGTATCTTGCCTCTGAACAGAAAATAATTCTGGCTGGAAGCTACTTAAGGTGCCACACCATCCAAATGATCAAACTATTTCCTTGAAATATGATGTGCTTTTAGTAACCTAGGATGCAAGGTAATTCTGAGATGGCACTGCGTGCATTTTTTTTATTCTGCCCTAGCTTGGCTGTGAAATTGGAGCAAATAAGAGCAGCAGAAAAAGCCAGGCTGGAAAATAGTCACAGAAATCTTTTCTGGAACCAAAAGTGTAGGGACAGGTGTCTAGAATAAACAGATAAAATTGCAGTAGCAGTGTGTTCTGATAACCATTATAGACACAAAGAGAAGAGAGCTCACAAAGAAGGCACAGAAAGCTGCAAAGTCAGCTTCTCTTTTGATTATTCATAAGAATAATGAAAATGGAAATGTCAAAATGAACTCATTATTTTTTAAAAGACAGATCTTTTCTGACTCTATCCAGTGAAGGAGTCTGGAGACAGTGACACACAGTGGCACTGAATATACCTAACGCCTAGATTTGGTGTCTAAGCACCATTTCCAAATGAGAGGAAACCCAGTTCTCAGAGAAATGGCTGATTATAGCTCTGGGGCAGAGAGAGTGGGACAGTGATCCTCCATGTTTTACCCAGTCAGAAAGAAGGCACTCAAAGAGTATTAGAAGAACAAAGGAGCCAACTTAAAAAAAAAATTCCTACTGGACAAATTTGAACATAAAAAAGAAAAATAGATGTAAATTATTAGAAGTCTGAACAAATAGAAAAATTCTTTACAGGAAGAGAGAAAGGGGGTTAATAAATGTAAAATGACTTACCTGAATAGAAAACCACACCCTTGAAGCTATAATGCAATAATTGGTTGGAACAAGAATAGTAACAAACATCAAAGGGTTAATGGGAACAGGATGCTTAATTGTGTCAACACATCACTCCTGGATTGTTTAGTAATTGCCAAGGGAAAGGTTTTCCTCTTCACAGCAGATATCTGGTAGACTCAGTGAAGCACTCAGCTATAAAATGGTTTTAACAATAGAACCAACTTCAGAGTTTTAAGAATTGAAAATGTCAATACATACAAAACACATCACTAGATTACAGAGTAAGGGAACAATAAATTAACATAATTAAAATAATAATTATTATTTCATCTCAGCTAATATCCTAGAGTCAAAGCAGGTCAAATGATTCACTTTCTTTTATTTTCTACAAAGGT